TAGTTTAACACAAAAATTCAGTTTCTTTTCCTTCCCTTTTGTTAAATAACAATTTTTCTCTATAATTAGGACTTTGGATTGCAAAATCACATTCCTCCCTTCTGCACAGAGTCATCTTGGATCTTAGTTACGATTTGAAAGGGGGATTAATTTAGGAAGGGAGGATGAGGGAGGGGTGCCTGCCAGGGCTTGGGAAAAAGAGGGGGAGGAGAAGAACAGTATTCTCCACCTTCCCCTGCCACATACACTCCTCAAGGCTCTCACCCCCATCCCAGGCCGGGGTGTGAGCTGCACATGGGGATTTTGCTTCAGAGTTTCTCTGTTCTAAATATTCTCACTCTCAACCTTGCCCATTTCTGAGCTAAGATTCCGAAGAAAGGGTTTTCCTTGTGGATGGTTCTTTGGATAAGGGATCATGGATCAGGAGAGGCCCTGAAACCTTACTGAACTAGGCAGGGAGGATTGGAAAACTTTCCTTCTAGAATCTCCAACAAGGACAGTTGTAAAGAAGCCTGGCCTGAAAATCCCAGCAAGGGAGCAAGTTCTCTTCTCCCTGATAATTCTCCATAACCACATCCACTTCTGGAGGCCTGTAGAAAAGGTATCTGATTTGCTGTTTGGGCTCACCAGAAGAAGAATATGGGCCTAATAAGGTCCCCAGGACAATAGGCAATCCCATCCTAGGCCCAGAGAGCAGAGGAGAGGAAGGGGTTGTGTGTAGAGGCTAGAGAAAGTATTATTAAAAAAGCCCAACCTTGGTTTATGACCACCAATCACTAGAGGTCAACTCAAGTCGTTCTCGGGGTCCTCACCTCTCACCAGGAAGAATTATTGGCAGAGTGACTGATAAACTTTTGACAGGCCCTGAACTTCCCTCAGACTGTCAAAAATAGTGAGGTCCTTAGCAGATGGATTTGATTCCCTTACCATCTGACCCCTGTCCCATCTCAGTGTCCTCTCCTCAGCCCCATTTCCTCCCATGCCTGGTCACACAAGGCCATGAAAAAGCCACAGAGGGCAGTGCCCTTAAGCCAGACAGCAGTCACCAAAGCTGAGGCCTTGCCTAGGTCACTCCTGGCATAGTTTAAGTGCGGACAATGGGAGAGGTCTGTGGAGCTTGACGCTGGGAAGGGTGAGTGGCTCCAGGATGTTTAACTCTGGCTGCCTCTTCTGCTGGCGAGGGTCTTGAAGTCTGCAGTGAAGAAGGCGGGCAGGATGCAGAGGGTGGCCCCTCTCCCCACTCACATCTCCAACTTCCAGGCACAACCAGACCACACACTATCCATACCCTATCCATCTGGTCCAGGGCCCTTTCTAAGCTTGCCGGGTGGAGCCCAGTCGCCCTGAGTATCGCTGCCCCTGGTTCAGTAGCGGGAGCTGAGTGGGGGCCTCTGGCTGGAGCTCAGCAAGTGCGCACTGCTGGGCAGGACCAGCGATTGCCCAAGGCCACCCGCAATGCCTCCGCGGGCCCCTGCGAGATGCCCAAGAAGCAACTCGGCGTGGGGCGGGGCAGGGGGACAGTGGCGGCCACACCCAGCGCGACCCTGGGCGGGCTCCCAGCCGGCGCCTACGACCCTGCAGGGCGCTCGGATCTGTTGGAATTTGGTTAAAGTTTTCCGAAAGGACTGCCTTGGCCCGAACTGGGCTTGGGACAATCCAAACTACCTGCTGTGCTGCGTGCTGGGCGCGCTGGGAGGGAGGAAGCCAGCGGGATTCAGCCCCCAAAAGCTCCGCCCTTCACCTTGAGACCCCCGCCCCACCCGTCAGCGTCCCGGAACCTTCTGCAAATAAGCTCACCCGCTCCGGATCACTAGAGTTCTAGTCTAGGAAAATTTCCTGCCCATTTTCCCAGCCCTTTCCCCCCACACCCTTCTTCAGTTGGAGAATCAAAAGGGGAAAGAGAAAGGAAAGGGGGAAGTCCAGACAGCTTGTTTGAAAATCTTTATGGAAGTCTGGAGATGGTTTGGGTTTTCCGTGGTATGCAGTTTGATGCACATTATAAAGCCAAGTCAGCCAAGCAAACTTTATTAAGATTTCTCCAATAATGCCAGGATGAGAAGCTTCCTCGCATTCCCGGATTTAACAGAGTGCGGGACAAGTCTCAGGCATTCCACTCGGAAACTGGCTCCATAAGACAAAGTTTAACACGACAGATTTGAGAAAGGATCCTTTTATGGGGGGGCCTCTTTCTTAGAGGCACTCTCTATCTTAAGTTGATACTTAAGGTAGACAAGTATCATTGTATCTTCCTAAATCTCTTTCCCTTCTCTGTTAGGGGAGGATTTATTAATGTACACATAATATGTTGAAACTAAAGCAGTGATGTCAACATTCCAGACATTTTTATACTGTCGGATTTTAATATACATAGATATGTACATATCTATATATGTATAGATATTTAAATATATATATGTATATCCTTTTTGATAGAACAGGAGAAAAAACTGGTACTATCAGTCTGAGATTTGAATCTATTAAAAAGTGATACTTGTGTCTCCATTTTCCGGCAATGAATTCAACATATTCTTTCATCTGCCATTTATTTGTTTATTTACTTATTTATTTATGGGCCCTTTTAAAATAGCACATTGGAGAAAGGGAAAGATATGAAGCTAGATCTTGCAGTTTCGACTTTATGAAATTAAAATGGTCTTAGGGATGGAGTTAATCAGTCTATTCCATACTTTGGTATACAGGAGAAGAACTTGACCTCCATTGTCTGTCTTAAAACAACATTCCCATAAAGAAGACAGGCCACACACCTCTACCAAACTTTTTGTGCCTGGAGAGAGTGTGGAGACACGGCTTGACAATCTGTACACGTTTTCAGGGTCCACAGTCCACGTTAATCCAGTGCACTAGGAAGGCATGGAGCCTTCTTTAAATCTTCCTTGGATATCACACTCCTGTGCTATTTTAAAAAACTCATCCATGGTTAGTGTAAGAGGCTCTGTGCTGTCAGACATCTGGCTTAGATTACACCATCGTGGTCCAGCACAAAAATCTCTTCTATCTCACTCCCCGAGGAGACCCTCTTGCCCTCAACTCCCCTCCCCAGTGACTGGTCTGGGCAAAGGTACTGAGAACAGAGAAACCGCAATGGCTTTTGGACTCTATTCAGGTGTGCAAACAGAACCCCCCCCCCCAATCCCTCCCTTTTAAAGTGAATGTCTGAATAACAGGATGGGTTTCCCAGGTAGCTGGGGAGAGCAGAGGTCATCCTGAGGAAAATGACACCAGTGATCTAAAAAGAACATCTACTTTATGAGATTTCAGGCAAGATGCCAAATATTGCATTTAATGAGGCTGATTGCTTTTCTCCAAAAATAACAGAGACTATCAATGATATGGTCAAGAAGGAAAGGCGGGTATTTTGCAAAACCTAGTCCAATTATTGCTTTGTAATATTTTTCTAAAATTGAAAATGCCTCACAAGTATATGATCTCATGCAAATATTCCTTGCCAAAGCCTAACGTATGTTTGCAACACCCCAGAGAAATTACAACAATATTTTCTCCACAATCTCTTAAGCTTTTAAACTGTTTACTTGTATTTCTAAAAAAAAATCTGTTGTTCCTAAAGATTAAAAAAAAGTAATCTTAAATGGGAAGTTTTTATTTTTATTGCTTTTAGAGATTAGCTATTTGAACTTCAAGTGGAGAACAAGTTATATTATTGATACACTTCCAAGTTTTGGAATTTCTTTTCTGTTTTTTTTTTTTGTAGAAATACTATGTTTGCAAGAGATTCATATGTGAAGAAAAGTTTGTGCTTGAAGAGTTTAAAAGTGCTTCTAATATGAAACATGAATGAAGGCACATAATGCATTTCTGACAGCCATGACAGATACAAGGGTGCAAATTCACTTATCCGAGCATTTGGGTATAGTCTTACTATTTAGATATAAAGACACTTTGGAAGAATTAGACTTATGCTGAGTGACAATTTAAGTGGAGAAAGATTATGTGTTCAGTTACAATAGTCTTCAGAATTCAGCACAGGAATGAACCTAGTCTGTTTGTGCTCATCAGCTGTAAGGTAATCCACATAAAAGTGTGCGGGATTAAAGAAAAATAACTGACTATCCTTGTTGGGAAAAAATAGAGTGACTTCCTAATGTATCACTGTTATTGTATACAGATTTGAGGTAGCCATGTTGACTTTTTAAAATTAGATTTTAAATATATTTTGACAGTCTGAACTGGTATAGTGAGACTAACTATAGGAAGAAATGACAGGTCTGCTTTGTTATTAAGCTGCTGTGTGGAAAATATTGGGTTCTGAACAGTAAATGATCATTATTTTGCCACTTACTTTGGTACAGCTAATAGCAATAAGGGTTTTTTGAGCCATAGAAAGCTAAGTACTCTGAATTACTTGCTTTGTTATTCCCTGCAAAGCAAAAAGTCTTTTTTTAAAGCAACCTCATTTTCATATCACCATTCTAAGTACTCCTGCTACTAATTTAAACAGAGAAGAAGTTAATAAATAAAAGGGTGTATCTAAATGGTTCTAGTTGTTAAGAGAACATTTGCAGTTAAGATCAGCAGCTAACAGAATAGAACAGAGCCATGGAGGACAAGGTGCAAATATGGAAGAGTATGTACCCCAGTAATGTGGAAGCTGCAGCAGTGGGGCTGGGCAGTCTGCCATAATAGTAGAGAACCTCATCAGAAATGATTCGAATCCTCCCACAAAGAATCTGGAATCTCTAGGTTCCCTTTGAACTAAGGACAGCTTCAAAAGTAATCAAGACTGCCAGGCCCATGGGTTGATGGCTATCGAGGTCTCCCAGGAGGTTGCCTTGTAGGTCTCTCTTCCATGCAGTCCCCTCCTCTGGCCTGGCTGGGCTAAGACCACCCTGCAAAAGCAAGTGGAGCCAAATTACCCTTCCTTTAGTCTAACTACCCTTTTCATTGATAGTCAAGCTGTTCATGAAGAACTAGTCATGGTTATTAATTACCTTTTGTTTATTTTGATATATTTACTAAATCAGGTACCCAAGGGAATCCTCTACATCAGTGATGTGAAAAATCCAGTTGGCTGAAGTCGAAGAGGTACATCTTGATTTTTGATATGCATGTGCCTGCTTCAGGGAGGTTGCCAAGAGGGGGACAAAGAGCAAGCAGTGCTGCTCATTTGTTAAGTGTGAAAAGCTCCTAGTTTTAGTTTTCATTTTTTGGGGTTCACATACAACCCAAAGGGTGACAGTAGGTCTCTGAAGGGGTGATGCAGGGGTATGAGCAATGTGTGTGAGAACAAGCATGCATTTATTTTCTGTATTTATTTCGTTACATAGATGTCTGACTCATAAAGAGGAACTAATCCAGCCTGAGTAGAGCTCAGATCTTCAGCCTTATCCCATACTAGTTTATTGACACTGAACAAAGCACTTCTTCTATTTGAATGTTAGATGATTTGGATGAATTTCGGCAACTGGTATCCATTGCCCCTGGCCAGCTCTGCCTGACTTTGTAAGCATTCCAAATTCTTGGTCCCTCACCCTCCTGTCTCAACTCACATTTGAAAAATTTAGTGTAATTTGAAAGCTCAGTGTGTCCTTCCTTCTGCATCCAAATGTGGCTGTAGTCACACCCACTTCAGTTGGAGGCAGAAGGGGAGGGAAAGAGACAAGTGGGAGGCAGAAATCTGATTTTCATCTACTAAAAAAAAATTGAAATTGTGCTATTTAAATGGCTTTTCATTTACAAGTATCTCAGCATGAATTTAATGATGAACCTTCTTCGTTTGGAGAGCTAGACCAACACTCTTATACCACTAATTATTTAATGTCATAGTCGTGTGTATTCTTGTTGCTGCTCATTGGCTAATAGAACAAAGTTTGATTTTTTTTTCATTAAAATTTTTGCTTGCTGAGAAATTTGCATGAAGTCCATTTTTTTTTTTTTTTTGGTTTCTAGAGGAACTGAGGGGGGCAAAAGTCACACTGTCAAATTGCTGCTCTTTGCAAAGAAGGTACTTGAAGGATACATTGAAAACACTGGAAAAAAGAGAGTCCTCTTTTCCCTGTATTTGAAAATAGTATCTGATTACTTACTTCTACTGCTGCTGTGATGAGAGGCTCATTTTGAATAACTAGATCGGGAATGTACGATATGGCTTCTTTGCTAACCTTCTGCAAAATTAACATTTTCTTTGTACATAGATTTTAACTCAGCATATACCTTTGGGGTTAGTTTATACTTCTGTGTGCGTGCAGTTTCACTACTGTATTCCTTTCTTCTCCTTACCTTTATAATTGCAATTTGAAAACCACCTATTACATATGATGATCCAGGCCCAGTGGCAGGCTTCATGACATTGAAACCATCCATTTTGAGCAAAGAGTTAATGAACTCTAAAAGCAAGGTTCACACTGGTCTTGACCCCTTTGGCAATATTTCATATAAGGTTACTGGTGGGAAAGAAATCAAATTTCAGCTGTGAACATGATTGACAGGTGAGAGCAAAGAAGAGAAAGGCAGCTGGTCAGATGGGGAATTTGGGAAGGAGGAGAACAATTCCTTGAAGTTCCTCTGTGACATTAGATATTATAAGCTGATATATGAAAAGCTCAATACTTGGTATTCTTGGGAGAGTTACTTAGTTTATTCTTAGAAAGTCACTTTGGTTAAGGGATTTTAGTAGGGTGAACCACTAGATTTTCTTGCTAATTTCAACCGTGTACAACTTGGTGGCTTATTTCTGGCAGTTTTCTAGGCTAGGTTCTGAAAATTAAATCAGAGACCATTTGGGGAGACATTTAATTATCTTTCATTTATTCTCAGAAACACAGTCTAGATTATACTATGGGTCACAGACATATTTCAAAACATTTGTCCCAAGTGGTATCACAAAAAAGATTAAATTCTCCATTTCGGCAGTGTCCCTTGATCCTGACTAACATTTTCTATTAGTACATGTTACAGTCTCACACATGAAAATCAACTAAAATGCATGGTTTATCTGGGCTCTGATTTCTCAAGAATGGTCTCCTAACTCACAGATCAATGTCCTGGCACTGCTTCTCTAACTTTTACCCAATCTGGCTATTTTTACTGAAATTGTTCCACGGTAGCATCACTGCCATAGGCATGATGCGACTAATGCCATGGAAACAAGTGAAGGGGTGGCTTTTGGGTTAGCCTTCGACAATCTCACAGCTTGACCTGTCACTCGGAGGCAACCAAACTACCCAGGATTTGCACCAATGTGGAAAGCAGCCCTTCCAGTCATGCACTTCCATTTTACGTGCTGAAACGTGAACTTGGAAGTGGTAATGGGACTTAGGCAGCTCGTGTCTTTACTGTGCCCATTTCGAATGTTTCTGACATGGGCTGAGACCCATCTGGATGCAACCAAGTCGTGCAGTGCTGTTATGGGGACACAGACATAGGGGAAGCCGCTTGTGGCCTTCCTGTCACCTACAGGAGACGCTGATGGAACCCATAGAGGCAGCACCTGGGTTCTGATGTATCCATCAACTTTCCCTACTCTTACAGTGTGGACACATTTTACCCTTAATATAATGAATTTTAAAAACCATCAAATGTAAGGAAGGAAGACTTTCCTATTTTATGACCTAAGGTAAAACTAAACTGTGACAAAATAAAAACCAAAGTACTTTCCATGTTGCCCAGAATCATCCAGAAGTAAAATGCAAACGTGGCTTTCCGATGCCCACTATTGATGTGTGTGCCTTAGCACAGCCTGTGCAACTATTTAGTTCAAATATGAAGTAGAGGTGCCACAGTCTGGTGTCATTTACATCAAGTATTTTAACAGGATTGGCGAATGTGTTTCTGTACAAAAGTGCATAGAACTCAGACTGTTAAGTTCTCATTTCTTGGTATCTCTGAAAAATCAAAGTGGCTGCCCTTGACTCTATTTTCCAGAAGGCTTCTCAGGGCTTCTAAACAGTGGGTTTTTAAAATAAATACTCCACCCTGCAGGATGAGAAGGAGGATGCTGTCTTGCTTGGATATTTGCAGCAGGGACCAATCTAGCACAAATTCTATGAGTCTGTCTCAATATATCCTTTGGCACTGAGAAAATTAGAAGAAACAATTCTGTTTAAAGGGTTTCCTCATGCAGACTCACCCTTATTGTCTTTTGTTGTTGTTTGTTTATTTATTTAGATTGTGGTTGTCCCTAACCTAGACTACCTCCTTCTCATAGCCTTTCTTTCTTGCCAGCACTGGCCTGCTGCTGAGCTGATTCAATTAATTAATTACACCGCACAACTGGCCTATGTTGCCATATGTATTATTTTCAGTCAACTCTGGGATACTATTGACTTAAAGAAAGAAACATGCATTTGGGAGGAAAAAAGAAAGAGGGATTTCTGCAGAAGTACAGCATTCATTACTTAAAACAAAACATGTGCCTGTGAAGAGGTTTCCTTGTGAAGGCACACATTCAGTCACCTGGCAAAAGCTCAGACTTACTGCTGTCATCTCCAGGTGTCAATGCTGAAACTCCACTCACCTGGCACTTGCTCAGATTTTCTTTTCCTCCCTCCAAGAATTACTGTCAAATTGTTGTTTCACATCTGCATTTTTTGCTTTTCCTGGCACCTAATAAAATTATCTGCAATAAATGAGCAAAGCACCAGGGTTGAGGGGTTTTGTTTGTTTGTTTGTTTTTGCTTTCTTTATTTGTCATATTTGGAAAATGCTCAGACAAGAGAAAATTCAGTTGCCTCTCTTAAGCCATTAGCACGGATATCCTTTTGGATGGGAATGAATGAATACCAAATCAGGTAGGCGAGAGCACAGTTTCAGATGCTCAAGTGGGAAAATCAAGCCAGCTGTGGGATTTATAGGTATTATCACTGGGAGACAAAGTGGTCACTGAGCAGTGACCTCAGGTGTAAGCTGCTGGAAGATATTAACACCTTAATTAACAATCCAAGGGCACATGCTGTATTTAATCGTGTGGTTATTCACACACAGCCATGCCAGCCTATTGAGAAGCACAGGTAGCCCATTTGCTAGCAGGTAGGCAGTGGAGGTGAGAATTGAATTGATCTCAAATGCTCCGAGAAATTGACCCCAAGGTCATCTTCTTTTAAATTGGGTTCTACACACAGTTTCTTTTCTTCTTCTTCCCTGGCTGCAGCTTGCTTCCAGCAGCAGAGTTGAAGTTTGCAGTTCTTTAAAGGGGCTGTATGTAAGGGCTGACACCCCACCCCACATACATACAGTTCATCAAAATAGAGACTTTTGTTGCCAGTGGTAGTAAAGGGCTAGAGTCTATATTGCTGTGGGCCCCCAGCTTGCTTATATTTTAAAATGCATTTAAGTCCTGATGGATAGGAAAGGGAGAGAAAGCCAATGTGGGGGTGTCTTACTAGGCTGAGCATTTGGACAGGAGAGCAGAATTTTCTGTTTATTTCCATTACTTCTTTCCCTCTCCCTCTCTCTTTAATGCAGCAACTAGGATCCCTTCAGAAAATCTTAAGGTGCACTCTCTGCATTTAACAGTGTTTGTAATTAGGCACTGCATTCTAGAAGGCGTGCAGGCCTGCTGGAAGGATGCCTGGCATTTCTCTCCTTCCGCGGTGAGGGTAGCCAAGAGAGATCAGAAATTCCTTTGCCAGTGCTGACCTTTTTGACCCGGGCTGAGAACTGCTTTCTCATTCTTTGCTCCTGTGGGTAGCATGGATTTGAAGTTCTGTCCTGATGGTCAAAGGCTGTTTTGTTTATTTGTTATTGGTTTTTTCCTGGACTTTTTGTGATTTATTTTTCTTCTCCCCCCCCCCGCCCCCTCCCCCTGCTTTTAAAGCTCAAATGGGTTCTTGCCATTGTCTAATAGAAGGAAAAGTCTTCCTTGGGTCTTTTTAGAGTGTTGTGGCTGGATTCGCCCTCCTGTGCAGACAGGGAACAGAGCAAGGTTGGGATTTCTGCAAGCTGCAGGGCTGTAAGTAAGCTCAGGTCTGAGGGCTCCAAGCTGCTCTCCTTTCTAGAAGACTTCTAGAGGCTTGCTGTATACTCAGAGCCTTTTGTCATCTCATATTTTTTCCTGGACTCACGGCCTCTTCACCTACTAAACTTTC